AAAAAGGAACGTGAAGGAAAAAGTCAATTACAACCTTAACTCTGGAGACTTTGCCATCTCTTCCCATCATTAGAAAAAGCCAAACAGCCAGGGATGATGGACCCCCAGAGGAAAGAAGTTTTCCAAAAGGAGAAATTTCCGTGTTTCCTTTCTGAGATTTGGCTTTTAAGAAAATAGCATTTATCTTATACGATGCAAAGAAGTAGCATGGATCTCTCCTGGTGAAAACAAAGGAAAAATCCTGGGGAAGGATCACGGCATTAATGATGCTGTGTCTCAGCTTGGTGTCTCCAGTGCAGTGCAAGGCTGAGCACTACACAAGAGCACATTTTAAGTGCAGTTTTCTAATCAGAAAAGCTTTTAAAGGATACCTGGCCAGTGCCTGCTGTGGCTGCAATCAGATTTCCTTTAAAATCATAAAAGGCTGAGCTGTTCCAAGTAGGGAACATCCCCATAAAATCTGTAAAGCAGAATTGCCAACGGTGAGGCACAGCCAGCTCTGGGCATCAGGAGCTGGGATGGAAACACAGCACAGATCTCAGAATACCCTCCTGGTCCTGATTTCCCAGGGGCTTTAGATGGGATCCTGGTGGAATCCCCACTGGGGAGAGACCCTCTGACACAGACATAACAGCCTCCACCAGAAAGACCTGAGCCAACATCCAGGCACTGGGACCCCAGATCCACACCTTGTCCGTGCTCTGATTTTTATTGCTGTGGGCCCATTTCCTACTGCATTTGGGACAACTGAATAGGAGGGAATGGTGGAAAGCATTTCAGTCACATTGAATCAAATTAAAAGTTTGGGGCGATCTCTTCTTGCTTTCTGGAGACTCAAGAAAAAATGGGAGAGAAGGGCACAGATGGATTTTCTGTGATTTTCTTATGACTTATGTTTAGAAGACTCACATCTCTTTTCTTGTGCTTCCTAGAGCCTACTTTAGTTTTATCACCTATCCTCAAAAAAAAAAACCCCAAACTCAAACCCCAAAACAAAGCAATAAATAAATAGTAATAAAAAAAACCCTGCTAAATCAAAGGCTGCAACAAGCACATCTTGCAAGTATCAATAATTCCATGCACTGAAAGAGCTGGAAATGCTTAAATTTCAGTTGCAATTTGAAGTAGCACGTTCTTCAAGCTACCATTGCAATAGTTATCAACCTCTCCCTCTCTGAGATAGACACCAGCAACATAAATCAGATTTTTTGAAAGATCTAGGGAAAGATCAGTGGCTTCGGGAAAAATCAGAGAGAAGGAGTGATTAAAGAAGGTTCCAGGAGGCAATAAAGCATTTATGCAAAATGTCTCATAATAACAAACAAATTAGGGGAAAGCAGCTGTATGGGGGGGAGCGGGGGGAGAGGTACTTACACTCTTCTTCCATAACAACTATTTTAGTTTCTGAGGCTGGTAAGACTTGTGGTGCTTTCGTTGTTCCTGGGGAAATTAAGGTAAGAAAGTAGTGAACAAAATGTCTCTTTTGAGCAGGGCAGAGTGGGCTTAGCTACTGTGGGGAGGAGGAGAGGGGCAGGTGCTGCTGGGGGGCACAGGCTGGGGGGCTGCCAAGGTGTTAGTGCTGGTTTAGGGCACGCCCAGGTAGGGATCGAGGTGACAGAGGCAGGACAAGGAGTGTCCCTGAGGGGGAGATGGCACAGGACATGTTGTCCCCTCACCCTGAAGGGTCTTGTGTCATTGAGGGTCTCTGTCACAATAAAGAGGCAGAAATGGCTCAGGGTTCACCTGGCAGGGGACAAGTGAAAGTGTGGGAGGTTTTCTCAGCCCTGATGGCCGTGAGAGTGCAAAGATGGGATCACAGGACAGGGTAGTGGGAAAAGTGAGGAGTTTAAGAAAAGGTGGGATCCTCTGAAGAGCCTCCATCCCACAGGTAAGTGCAACTCTGCAGCACAAACTAATACTGGAACAAGAGGATGAGGAACATGAAGCAGATGAAGGCCATGGGCAGGAGCCTGGGCTGAGGGTGCAGAACCCTGTCAGAGACAGGGGTGAGACCACCATGAACAGCTAAAAAGCACAGAGGATTTTTTGGTACAAGTTTGATTTTTCCTGCAGTGTTTGAGCAAAGGGGAGTGGGATGAGGGCAGTTACGGAGGTGCCTAAAAATTTTCTGTGGAAGAAAAGAGTCTGAAACAGTCACATCTCACCTGTGCCATCATGGTCATGTGATATAAACATTAGACTGTTCAATAAAAAGAACTGGGAAAGGGGACATTTTCCTAAGAAAGTGTCTAATCAACCTCAAAGTCATAAAAATCTGCAAATAGCACCAAAGCACAGTATATTTTGTTTGAGTCCAGAAACATTTCCTCAGAAATTAACACTGTCCCAAAGCTTCTCAATGCAAAAGCATTTATTTCTGATCTGGGTGTTCTGTGGAAATACTGGAATTGCAGAGGAGAGGTGAGGTGAGGGCTCGGCTGATGGACAGTTCCTAAGTGCCAAGGAGTCACTGCACTGCAGCCACTGTCTCTCTAAAGATGTGGTGGGCTTGGTGATCTGCAACAGATCTGCATGGCTGAAAAGCTGCTTTCTTGAAACTGGTATCAACTGTAAAGTGATACTGGAACAGAGCAAAGAGCACTTTGCAATGGCAACCCTGCCTGGTCAGGCTGAGAGACTTCCAGCGGCAGAGGCTGAACCTCAGACCTCCCTTCCATGGCCTGAGGGTTCCCTGTCTGAGCTCCTTCTCTGCCAGCCAGGACACCAGCAGGATCAGAAGATCCCATCTCTGGCCTCTGCATCCCTGGAAGGCAACAGCACGTGGGGTTGAGGACACCTCATGATACTCATCTCAAGCCTCGACAGCTCAGGTCACCTCTTGCAATGCCACCTCTCTACAGGGGCACCCAGAGATGTCCTCAAACCTTGCGTGTCTGTATCACAAGATGTGGTGTTAGCTCAGGACTTTTTCCCAGTCCTGGATTCACCCTCCTGTATCACAGCAACATCACAGGACCTCCCAAACCACTGCTGTCAGGTCAGAGACTGTGCTTCCAGCAGCTGGTCCCGGAGCACCAGTCCCAGCCAGCCTGCCCGGGACAGGCTGATGCACCAGGGACAGAACAGCTGTAAAGGAGCAGGATATAAAGCAGCAGGACACATGGAGACAGTAATAGCTGGAGTGACCTTCTGGGGAGAAGGGGAAGGCTTGAGGGGAGGCCAGCTCTGATTAATTGCTATGAACTGCTAGAACTTCACAGTTCTAGCACAGAGAACGCTGTGCTGAGGCTCAGCCACAACAGGATCAGTGCTAAGGAGCCTGGGGAAGAAGGGACAGGAGAAAACACATGTGTGGATTCAGGTGCCCTGATGAGTTTCTACTGAAAGGTGTCACAGAAGAAGGGAGCTTGCAGAAGCAATGAAAGCTGTGGAGATCCCAAGAAAGCCCAGCACTAAGGGAAGAGGAAAACTCCAGCACAGCACATGCTGGGCACAGATGAAGGCTGCTCAAACTCTGGATAGCTCCAGAGGAAAGAGGAAAAAAGAGTGCAGAGTGGGGTGGCAGGGCTGCAAAAGACTCCAGTGTCATCTTGGCTACCTTTGCAGGGGGCTACAAGTGGCCCTGCTGTGCTGGCAGGGGGTTGCAGACAGCAGCAAGGTGTTCATGCAGCTGAGCAGACAGTCAAGGGCAGATTGGCAAGGCAGATGAGAAAATGGATCAATCCAGACAAGAAACCCACTGGATCTGCAGCTGAGCAACAAGCCAAGGGCAGATTGGCACAGCAGCTGAGACAATGGATTAATCCAGGCACGGAATCCACTGGATCTGCAGCAACTTGCAGCCTGCAGCTCCCACTAGGAAAAGGTAGAGGCTAGAACTTTGTGTGTCTTTTGCTGTTTTTCAGGTCTCAACACATTTCTGGGCAACTCAGGAGTGTCCCCATCCCTGCTGTGAGTGGTCCTTGCCACACAGCGTGTCTTCCTGTTGAGGGAATCCTCAGGGAAGCCTGAGAGTTGCTGCCTGTTAATGTGGTGATGGGACAGCCCAGGCATGAGGAGAGCACTGCCCCAGCTGCTTTCTTGGGACACATTCCCTATCACGATCAGAAATAAACCCAGCAAAACAGCAGGCCTGACTTCACAGACATGGGACATTCAGGCAGGGAGGGCTGAGCATGGATGGCCTTCCTCCAGACCCTGCAAGCACTGGGATGGTACAGGCAGAATAACCGAGGGGAGGCTTCCTGGTACTGCAGCTTCACAGAACAAAAGGTTCAGGATGGCAAACACCGCTGAGGCAGAGGTTAATGGAGAAAATACCACCAGAAAGCAGCAGGAGAAAGCTACCTTCCCTCACACTGGGCTGATGCTACTGAGAGCACAAAAAACTGAGTCCCAGCAAAGGCTGCAGAGCCCAGAGCCCAGAGCTAAGGCTGCCACAGTGGCCAGTTGTGAATGGCAGGAGGAAGAGCTTAGGAAAGAGAGTCATCCCCTCCCTAGCTGTGCCCTCACAGCTTCTGGCAGCCACTGTAGGGACTTTCTGAGCCGGAGGGAGCATCCAAACCATAGTGTTAAGCAATATAATTATTATGACCAAGATAATAATAAAACCACCTAACCTCAGACTCCATCCGCTGAGCTCTAAGAGATGGAGCACACATTCTAGGATGAAAACCAGAAGCAACTTCACTCATCACAAAGCTATGGTCTAATTACTTGTCTTCTGGTGAGTTTTGCTTCTCAGAAATTCTTTAAAAAATGAAAACATCAAGCCCACCAGCTTTCTTTCCTCCTTACCCCTTTTAAAAAAAAAATACATAGACTGTAAGTTTATTTAAAATGTAAATTAACCACATTGCCAGTGACAGATAACAAAGATAAACATTTATGCTAAGCTGCATTTTTCTTATCTCCCAAAAGATTGTTTTACTCAATATCCTGAAAGCATGAAACAAAATACAAGACAGACCATGTGCAGAACCTCCCGCTCTCTGTGGAATGGCAGACAGCTCGAGACATTTGCTGGCTTCTTCACTTACCACTTTTCACATTCAGGCTGCCTTTTGCGGTGTCTTTCCCTAAAATGTTCTTGGCTTCGCAGCTGTACTCCCCAGCATCCTCCAGCTTCACCTTGTTGAACTGCAGTCTGGAAATCTTTCTGTTGAAAAGTACAGCAGACATTTCTTACTCGGTTGCTGACCATCCTCATGAACTGACAACCATTCCTGGCCCTGGGATGCTGCCTGGAGGGTCACCCCTGCCTGACCTCACAAACCTGGACAGGATTTGGACGAAGCCCCTTCCCAGGATTTCCTGAGTGAACATCTCCCTCTGAACCCAGCGCTCTCGGTGTGTTGCATGGTTTGGTCTGACACCTGCCCTCACTCACACAGAAAGGCTTGTGAGGGGTTGAGCCCAAGAGTCCCAACAGCCCAGCCCAGCTTTCCACACTGGAGAGAAGCCACTTTCCTGATGGGCAGCAGGATCTGTCTGCTAGATGGAGATGTGGAGAGGACATGCATGTTCTGCACCTTCCTGAGCAGGGATGCCGAGCACTCCGGTGCTTCACCAACCTCATCCAGCAGTGCCATGCACTCAACACAAACACCCACGAGGTCCAGGGGGGCTCATCCCTCTCCAGCCTGCGAATCCAACCCCCAGGATTCACCCTGGACAGAGCTGGTAGCTTCATCTAGGCCCACAAATAGGGCAAGTGCTTTGTCTGCCCCAAATACACCCGCTCCAGTGGACTACAGATATGTGGGGCTGAGCTGCACACACTCATCTTACCAGCCAGAAGTGCCTCGAAAGAGCAGGAGAGGGTGTGTGTGACGATTTTAGGTGTCACCTAAGAGCCTGTGCTGCTGCTGCTCCGTGGCAGAGGGAGCGGCTCTGCGGCAGAGCTCTGCGGCGCTGCGGGAAGGCCTTTCCCACTGGCTATGACTCATTCCTGGGATGTCTCTGACTAACAGGCAAAACCTTTTGTTGCCTAGTTTAGCAGAGATCTATAGGAGCCTTCAACACACACTGAATGCCACTTATGAGACCGCAGTGGGATTCCCACGAGTCCCTCTGTTTTACTACATTTCCTTCCATTTTAGCCATCTTATCAAAACCCACCCTACCTGCTCTTCTCATGACAACATCTCTTTCTGCCTTTTACCCCAATCTTTTACCTCAGGTCTGTGTCACACAGTCACTGCATTTAGAGACTCAGAAGCACTGCCAGCTTTAGAAAGAGGTCCCAGTGGCCTATGTTGCTGAAGGCAAATAAAATTCCATTTTATGTGGAAAATAATCATTAGCCTTGGACATACTTGCAATGCTACACGTGTCACATGAGAAGGACTTTCCTTTGGGCTGTGCAAATCATCATCGTCCATAGGAAGCCCTTCACAGAAGCTCACTGGCATCTTTTTAACACCCCGACAAGCTGTTCTCCTGGGAGGCACGGCCCAAGGACACAGCAGGAACATCTCACTAGTTATAATAGTAAATTAAAAGCACTTGGAGACAACTTGGTAGAGCTCCCAGGGCTCAGGCGCTGCCCTGTTTTACAGGATGCGGTCAAGTGCCCAACTGCACGAGCTGGGGCCACATGTGGAGCAGTTTCTAAATGAATGTTGACAGTATGCAAAGACCTCTCCAATCCCTCTGACTGCAGGTCTCCCCGATCCACTCGTGCCGTTACTTGGGCCACCACATTCCAACATGGGTGCCCAAAGAAGCCAGGTGGTTCAGGGTGCTGGAAAGCTCCCTGGACTCCCAGCACCATTCCCTTCTCTGAATGTTCTCTCAGAGCAACCTGTGACAGCCCTGGGCACTGTGGCCCTCCCTGCTGTGCTGCCTGAGGAGTCAGCAGCACCCAAGGGACAGCAAAGCACTTCAGGGTGTCCAGTGCCTGTTGCTGCAGTTGGTTCCTGCACCTTCCTGGGACGTACAATGGCTGTGGGCTCTGTTGAGCTGCTCAGGGCCACGCTCCCAACTCCCTCCGCAGAAGCAGGTGTGGAAATGCTCATCAAAGGGGTGAGATGGCTCCTGGTGCTACAACATGCAACCCCAAGACTGTCCCCAGCCCAGCCATTACTTTCTTCCATCTGTCTCAACCCTCTTTTGCCAGAACACATCATTTGTTTTACACCCCCCCCCAGGAGAGGCTGCAGCTATTGCTGCTACACATGGAAGAGATGCAGGCAGCACGTGCTGAAAGCAGCTTGGAAGAGCAAGGCTCTAACTCAGAGTCCATAGAAAATACCCCCCTGGCACACCAGCACACTGAGACTCTGCCAGAGCTGAAAGCATCAATGGCCACACTGCCTTCAGCTGCTGGAGGACAGATGTTCTACTCATAACTGGTTGCATCACAATCTCAATCCACAGCACATTTCACCAGGTGTAGCAACTGGAAAAGTCCACTACGGCATTAGAATAACACCTAGGAATGTGATCTCTTACAGATAAGGGGTTTTAGTCCCAAAGATATGAATTAAGGTGTTATTGGTGATACAAAAGGGTGATGAAAGGGGCCACACTTGACAGATTCATCACCAAGAATAGGATGAGAGACATCTGGTCTTTTACCTGGAGAAGAATGTGAGCAGAATAAAGGGTGATGTTGGCATTTAGAGCATAGCAGCTCTAAACTGCAGCTTGTTTTAAGGTACAAGACTCGTACTGTCAAAAGAGCTTATTTTTACTTGTCAACACAGTTTGTTGAAATTCTCCTGGATTGTAAGATCCCCTTGAAAAATCAAGAGCTTTTTCTTGCTGTTCATACCTCAGGCCAGTGGCGTGGTCACTCTTGGTCTTCACACTGTGCTGTATAAATGTCAGGTAACAGACTTGGGGGAAAAGAGATGAAGGGTAGAGATATGGATCAGCTTTAATGTGGAGCCTAGCCACTGTAAAGAGAATTTTCCTCTTCTGGGAAGCACTGAAACAGCCAGAGAGACACCTTGCTTCACAGCATTAGCCAAGGGCCTTTTAATTAACATGGATAAGGCCTGAAGAAGAACTGAGCTGAAGGATGTCAAACAGACTAGTCCTTGCTTGATCTGTGTGTGCCAAAGGTGACCAGTCTGTCTCTGTTCTATTTTACCATCTCCAAGTGCTACTGAAGCATCTCAAAACTCCTTTGGAAATCAGTTTCTCAAGGTCATGTTCTTCCTCCTGCTGCCCCCAAGGGCAGGTACTTTGTCCTCATGCGGGTTGAGGGATGATTTTACAGAAACACCAAGTAGCAGTGTCCGAGGAATTCTGCTGTGCCCTGGAGTTTTGGATGAAGCCTCGTGGGCAGCGTGTCTCCCGGGGACAGCAGTCCCTGGGAGAGCCCTACATGTGCATTCACAAGGGTGCCTGGCTGCCAGAGGATGCCATTCTTCTGGAGGAAGTCACTGCCCCGGGCTGTTTGCTCAGTGAAAGGGCCAGGGTCACTGACAGATCCCATCATTTCACTGCAGTGCAACTCTGTTGACATCTCTTTACTCCGGGGGAAAATCTGCCTCATTGTCTTTCCTGACCCTCAGCACATATGACTTAGCCACTCACTAATTATCTCCTGTAGTGCCAGTGGAGGGATAAGCCATGGGGAATATGCTGTCTGCAAGCACTGAGGGATAGGATTCACAAGGAGACCTTCAGCCTGGCCAAAAGAAGATCCCCCAAAATACCTTTCTGACCAAGAGAAAAGAGTCCCCCAGAGGGCAGTTTGGAGGGATGAGTAAATCACCCTCTGTGGTGCCAATCTCCAGACTACAATGGGAAACAGGGAGATCAGCCCTTGGCCAGGACCTACACAGAGATCCTGGCAAATTCTGGCTGAGAAGGGTGGCTTCACTGGCTGTAATTTAGACATCTCAGAGTTAGACATCTAAATGTGAGCTTGGACCCTGAGGCCTCCAGTGAAGTCAGAGGAGAAGAAACAGGCCTTGCATCTCAGCCAAGGAGGAACTTCTCATGACAGCAGTCGTGTTCCCACCAGCACTTTGGTCAAGCTTGAATCATTTTTCTCCTCTTACCTACTGCCAAGTGGAAATGGGGCCGTTTTCCCAGGTCATCTGCTTGCAAAGCCATTCATGTCAGAGCGTGGGAGCAGGAGAGCAGCTGCCATGAGCTGCCTCCGAGACACCTACACTGAGGACTCCGTGTTCCCTGTGAGAGTTCAGCCGCTTCTGCATCGCTCTGGACAAGAATAACTCTAGCATTACTACTGCTGTAGTGTTTTATTAGTCTTCTAAAAATAGGGTAGCTACCACATGAGTAATGAAGAAGTCAAGGAATCAGCTGATGAAGAGAATTTGGATGCTACACCACATGGAGCCCCAAAATTGTCAATGAAGAGCACTGCACATAGTAAACACACCTGAAACCCTAGGAAAAGGAAATTCCCAAACATGACCCTTGCAAAGGACACACTGGCTGCACTGCCATGGTTACCCATTAACTCCATTCCCCTCTGTTTGCTCGGAGAGCCAGTGGCAGGAGGCACACTGGAATTGCCTAGAGCAGGAAGGCCAGCAATGGCTGTAACATGCACTGATTACATCCTGCCAGAGATTTAATTGGTGCCTACGTGCTGTCCTGGCACTCTGCACCGCGCTGCTTTTGCCCTGGGAGAGCAGATTAATGATTGGCAAGAAGATTCAGAATATCCAGGTTCTGTCCAGCAGCCATCAAACACTGGGCAGCTCCACCAGCTGGAGCAGGGGCTCTCAGGGAACACATTTATTTTCCCCAGCACTCAGTGGGATAAAATAAGGCAGAAGGGATCACTGCAATGCACGGACAGCACAGGGATGGCCATGGCAAAGCCCCTCTGTCCAGCAGGGCAGGAACAGCCAGGAGCATCCTCTCCCTTGAATAACCATCCATGTGGAAGCCACCCCGACCTCTTCCTTGCCTTTCAGCTGTTCTCAGCAGAGCACAGCAGAACTGGGCAAGATGGCTGTGCTTGCAGTGCTTGAGAAAAACTCATGTCCTACACTGGCTGCTGTGTGCTCCAGAGCGTGATCTGGCCAGCTCAGTGTTAGCCACAGAAAGATGGGAAAGGGGACAAAAATGCCCTCAAGCAAAGCAATCAAATAAAAGGGGTAAGGGCGGGAAGGTTTGGACTTTTCAGCTCGGCCATCATCCCTTCTGCAGTGGGCAAAGGCCTCCTTC